GTAATTAATTCAGAAAATCTTTTCAGGACCCCACCTTGATGTTTCAGGACCCCACTTTGGGTCCCGACCCCAACTTTGGGAAACACTGGTTTAATCAATTAGTGTTTGAATCAAAAGTCATAGCAAAGAAAAGTTATAATAAGATGATAATAAAACACAACAATGTAATTAGCCTGTTTTTTAAATAAATTAATAAGATTATACATTTTGCCAGTCAAATAAGAGGATCCCGTTTGATTTAATAAACTATGATTATCACACAAACTCTAAAACCTAAAACAAATTGTTAAATTTTGTAGCAACAACGCTGTAAATATTGTTTTTCGTACGTGAAAATGTTAGTTTTACGCCAATAATAGACGCTTTGCGAACGACAGTGCCTCAATATAAAACATTTTAACGACTTAAAAACATTAGTAAACCAGCAAGTTATAAAACAAACTTAAAACCTGAGCCGGCAACTAAAATGATATAATGTTTACAAGTAAACAAACAGAAATACTCCTGATAACAAGAGACGTCAATCAAAAAGAAGTGATGATACTATTGGCTACAAGGCGAAACGAATATGAAAATAAAACCTGTGAGCCAATCGAAATTCAGAATCTACAAAGTGGGCGGGCTCTACGGCCGCTTGCCACTGTTGGTAGGCCCGCCCACCTCGCTCTGATGATGGCGGCGGTTCGATGCGCAAACAGGATAAAGAGCCAGGGCAGAGCGGCGAACGAGCAGCACATAAACAACTTCATTTTTCACAAATAACCCCTGTGCCAACGCGCTGGAAACTTAGACAACAACACAGAAGACATTTCAAAGAAGTTGTAGATGCGAAAAGAAGAGCCGAACGGCCCCTAACACTGCCGTATAACTGAGCTAACACGGCGCATAATTTGAAAGTGAATTTTCGCTCCTCCGAGCAGCTGCAGAGCGAAAGACTGCGTTTCACCGCCGCTTCGACAGCCGTGCAATTACCCACGCGACGAAATAAAAGCGCTGTCAAAACAATAAAAAACACACATGTGTGTAAAAAAACAATTTTAAACATGAAAAGTTCATTTACGTGTAGAAAAAGACGCGATAGAGGGGCTTACCGTGGGGAAAAGAGTGGATAAGTCGTCAGCGACGTTTCGCTGCTCTGTTTTTGTTCTTGGTTTCTCACAATGAAGGAGAGCAACGTCCAGCGGGAAAATGGCCGCCGCGTCAATCATGTGTCCGTGAATGCAACACGGCTTCACTGTCTTCATGAGTCCTACACAGCGGGGCTGACTTTTTATTAAACTTTATTATCGCAGGTTTAACAACCCGGTGCTTTAGTTTAATGAGATAAAGTGATATTATGGACGAGCCGCGGCTGTTCGGAGGGAAATGACAGAAATGACGCGCCAACAAGAAAAAGACGCATTTAAAGTTTGAGCGCTCAAACTCAGGAAAACAAAATCCAATTTATCAGAAAGGTTAAAGTTGTTACTTATTTGTAAACGATCTGTCATTTTTTTGTGATTTTTATTATAGTAATTGGGTTTATAATGCCACATTTGTGTTATTTAATAAATCCAATAACTAACATTTTATTTCACTTTGACCCATTTTTTTGTTTCCTAGCCTCTAGTACAGTGTTTCCCAAAGTGGGGTCCCAAAACTTCAAGGTGGGGTCCTGAAAACATTTTCTGAGTTAATTACATTTTTGCCTTAGTTGTTAGAAAGGAGTGAGGTTAGTGTATTTAAAATGGATAAATGTAGTATAAAAATATTGTTACTATGCCCATGTTTAGTTGACCTGATACAAATGTTTATCATCCAAAAATAGTTGGGGGCACAGGTCTCTGCTACTGTTATTTTGTGGGTCAAAAGCTGAAAAGTTTGGGAACCACTGCACTTTGGTTCCCAAAGTTGGGCTTAAGACCCAGTTATGGGTCATGAAGCACCTTGGATAATCTCCAGAAATCAATTTAAAAGGGTAATAAAATAATTGCTGATGTAATATTTTTCCTATAATTATTACAAAAACACAAAATTAGTAAAAAAAAAATAAGTATTTATATGTGTGTACAAGCTGTTTAGATTGTCAAAATCCTGTGTTTTTAGGGTTATTAACGAAGTTCATGTACTCAGACCAGTAATATTTGGGGTCACAAGTTTTTGCCATGAATATTTTGTGGGTCAGAAGATAAAAAAGTTTGGGAACCTCTGCTCTAGTAGGATGTCTTGTATGCCTACAGGGTAGTTATTTTTAATGACAAGTTTGACTAGATGGATGACATTTTTAAAACGAATATCTAAATTTACCGTCAATTACACACGCATCTCTTTTTATCCACAAGAAACTGTTTATTATGCCTGAATGTGAAGTCAAAAGTACAAATATTCTTCCTTTAAAAATGACTGAAAACACAAACTCAAAAACACAGTAGAAAAACATAGGTTATTATACGAACCTGAGAGAGGAAATTAAAACATTACCTGGACATAACACCATGGCTGTAAATGAAAACATGCTCAACACAGGTCTGCTACATCTATGCCGCTTGTAGTCCGTCAAACCATGCAGTGCCATCGTGGTGGGATGGCGGTTTCCAAATGACAACCAGAATCAGACTTTTCTAATTTGATACATAGAACAGTAACAGTAGAAATACACCATTGTTGTAAAAAAAAAAAAAAAAAAAAAAAAACAATCTGTCATTTTACAACAAATTTCCATTAAAAAGAAAGAAAACCAAGACTCAAATCATAATATCAATATGCGTGTTCTTAGGATGAAACCCTAACACCGACCCCTATGCCTGTTTCAGATCATACACAGTCCACCCCCCTAAAACCACCTAATTAATCGAGGTAACACGGTATTACTGTGTGTTTACGTATTAGGACTGATGAGTGTGACTCATTCAAACATTGAAACACACATGAAGATACTGCTATGGAAAAATCTGCTACTAGTAGCACCGTAGAAGACATAATCACACATTTACGGTTATCACAATCATGATATATATAATTATATGTATCTAGAACCTCAAACCAAACTACTAAGTATATAGAAGAAGGAGAAACCAGAAGACAGCTTATCATAAATCAGAAAAAAAAAAGAAAAACATTTTAAGCACGCTCTCCACGGATACGACGGGCCAGCTGGATGTCTTTGGGCATGATGGTGACACGCTTGGCGTGGATGGCGCACAGGTTGGTGTCCTCAAACAGGCCCACCAGGTAGGCCTCGCTGGCCTCCTGCAGATGACAGAGCGTTTTAGTGTAAATAACATCACACGATGGATAAAAGCCACCCTGAGCGAGCGGCGCTGACCTGCAGAGCCCCGATGGCTGCGCTTTGGAAGCGCAGGTCAGTCTTGAAGTCCTGGGCGATCTCTCTCACCAGACGCTGGAAGGGCAGCTTGCGGATCAGAAGCTCAGTGGACTTCTGATAACGACGGATCTCACGCAGAGCCACAGTACCGGGCCTAGACGACGGAAGCACAAACTGATTAAACATGAGGTGGAGGGCAAATGAGCAACAGTATCTTTTCTGGGTTTTATTATTTTTGTAATTAACTAAAAAAAATTAAAAAAAAGAATTGCAGAGAGGTCGCTACAACTTTTACTGAGCACGAACAGAAGGACGATGTGATCTCACCTGTAGCGATGGGGCTTCTTGACCCCACCAGTGGAAGGGGCACTTTTACGAGCTGCCTTTGTGGCCAGCTGCTTACGTGGAGCCTTGCCTCCAGTTGACTTACGGGCAGTCTGCTTGGTACGGGCCATGGCTGTTTCAAATCACCTGCAGGCAAAAAACAAAAACAAAAAAACAAAAAACCCTTCAAATAAGGAAGCCTTATTTTGAGTTCAACAGATAAACAATGTGTTATTTAAAGTTTTTTATTTCTATTTTTTAAGTCTGCACAATTTTTTTTCAATTTGGTTTAATTTAAAATAAGTATAAAGTGAATGTGAAACCATTCATTGAACAACACTCAGAGCTGCTTATGTAATGGCTGCAAGGAAAAATAGCAAAATAACCATCCAATAGGAAGACCGATCTAATCAAGTAAACCAATCAAATTGTGTACACAAGCCTGTAGGGCGGGCTGCTGTGGTCCTCTCGACCAATCAAAACACAATATTTACCACATAAGCCACGCCCCTTGCGTACTAAACGAGGGTTTGTTCGTTTCTTCATATGAGGTTCCCCGGTTACGCACAAGTCCTGTTTAACTCGTGCAGAATTAGCTATTTTACGAAAAACGAGGTGACCCCGCCCGTTCCGGCTGCACGGTGCCAGTAAACCAACGCACCCACCAGTAATGGCTGGCTGCTGGCTCAAAGAATGTAAACGGGAAGGGGGGGAAAAAATCGTCGCGAGCGTGGAGCTTGACGATAAAAACGACGAAAAATTATAAAAAATACAACTTGAAAACACGATACGGTTTTTGAAAATGACACTAGACATGTCAGGGAAACAGTTGGCGCGCAGTTTTTCGTCAGATGACTTGTCACTTTGGGCGCATTTTCGAATCAAATTCAAGCGAGATCACAAGTGCCTCTGTCTGAGTCCCCGACTCCCCGAGCAGGCAGATAATAGCTCGACTGCTCTGCGCTTTTCCTTTTTCGACGACAATAAACTAAAAATATCGAAAATTTTAAAACTAACCTAACATTAAACGGAGGAGTGGAGGTTTATAAAAATAGTGATACAAACCTTAGAAAAGTTAGTGAAAGATTTCGGCTGTAAAATGCGAATTCAATTCTTCAGTCTGTAAAGCGTTGTTCTCGCAATAAAACGAAGGGAGGAAGGAAAAAAAAAGAAAATCATCAAAGAAGACAAGAAGGGACTCGTTACCCATGATGCATTTGGACCAACACAAAACTCAGAACAACACGAAATACACGCAAAGACGTGTTTAAATGAACAAAATTTAATGTGTAACAAGTTTTTTTTTTTACAAATAACAATTGTTATTTTTATTATTTGAACTTTATTTTTATTTTTTTTCAATTTCTCTACATTACAAGGAAATAAACATTTAATCCACAACACATATTAAAGAGTCATAATAAGCGTATTTTAATTTTTGATGCTAAAGTTACAATTTTAAATATATTAATATAATTTCATCACAACATACATTATTTTCAAGTTTTATTTTACATCAAGTGTATAAAATCTTGACTAATGTAATTTTTTTTCAATATTATTAATGCCTGTACTATTTTAAAAAAAGAGAAATATATATTTTTATTTACATTTAATCGACATTTACATCATTAGTCCAGCAGGTGGCGCCACCTGCGTCCGTCCTTCGTTACATTTTTTTCCTCGTCATTTCAAAATGGCGGCTGCCAGGAGGCTGAAGCGCGTGGCGGCTTCACAGCCTGGGTTTTTAAGTTTAAAACCCTCCTCAGACTTGGCCAGCAGTCGGAGGAAACGTGTAAACAAGAATAAAAAGAAGAACTGGAACAAATTCAGCGATATCGCAGATGTAGAGGAGTTTTTAGAGGACGTCAGGCATCAGGAGAGGACCACAGGGTGAGTGTGTGTCAGGTTTAAAGTTCTGCTCAGATGATCCAACATCAACACTGTCAGGTTCTTAAATACTTTTTATACTCTGACAGGTTACTTGTTGCTTAATTTACAAGGTTTTTGTTGAAGATGTCAGAATATTCTCAGTATGGTGTGTGTTTCTAACACTCAGAGTCCTCTAAATACCAAAACATTAACAAGACAAACAGGAGTCCTGCTCTACCCAACAACCAGCCTCTGTTAATGTGGGACAGCTGTTTTAATCTGTTTGAACAAGTCTAACATTAAAACAGTAATCTATTTTATAGGGCTGTGTATTGGCAAGAATTTTGCGATACGATACATATCATGACAGAGGGGTCACGATACGATATATCCCGATATATTGCGATATTATAAGCAAGGCGATATATTGCGATTTTTTTCTATTAAATAAAAACCTCTTACTGGGGAAAAAAAAAGAAAAACAAAATTCATTGTCTCAGAAAATTCAAATATTACAGAGACATGTTTTTAATACATTTAGCTGTGTTCTGCTTTGTATGTACTTTATTTTATTTGTTTCATATTTCTGATTTAATCCATGTTTTCAATTATTAGATTAAATTTGACAATAAATAGTTTGAAAATATATTTTTTGCAGCTTTTAATATTAATTTACAATATGGTCACCCAACACTTAACTCCTCTTGAGGTAGAGGAGCCAAATGGCTGGCTCACTGCTGCCAACTAGTGGTCAGAGGCTGAACTACAA